TCGATTCTTGGCTGATGTTATTTTATGGTTCCCATATGTTCTAAACTCTGGTGGGGGTGGGGTCATGGGTGTTGTCCCATAATTGGAGGGACCGTGTCAGTGTGTGTTGCATATTTGTACCCAAACACGATGGACTCTGGAGTCTCGGGACTGATCTGATAATCCCTATGTGGACCCGACACCTCGGATTCTTTCCCGGGTTACCAACTTGTAACATCAATTGCTAAACAGTCAAGCACACTTAAAAAGAATACGAGTTTCCTAAAACGCAATTAGCTTACACTAATCCAAATTATAAGAAGGGTAATTGGGTAATTGACTCTCCCAATCAACAAGAAGAGCAATCACCGAGACAAGCGCAATCTAAGCCAGTCTCCGAGTGTCTCTCGTTTATGTTCCCAACAATACTCCTTGGGATGTCCGCAACCCCAATCTCTCTCTCTCACACACATTCTTTCTTTAATTTTTTATCTTCATCAACTGTTTGTATCAGGACCTTTTTATCTTATATAAATAGCCACACATGCTACCACTGGACTTGCAAGCCCAATTCTGCATCTATTGTTCTTCTGTGATCTCTCTCACTTCCAACCTTTCTCTGATCTCCCACCAATTTCATGTCTTTTTTGTAACTGTGAACCCTTCACCATCTCTCTCTCTCTCTCTCTCTCTCTTGCTTTTGCTAGCTCACTCTCAAGGAATCTTGTTTAATGGCAGAAATCGACTACCAGACCAAACCGAACAATCCCACCAACAACGTACGTCTAAAGCTCTTTGGCTTCAACGTTTCAGAAGAGGATGAGGTAGATTCGAGCAAAACTCCATCTGGGTCGACGGAATCCGGCAGTTTCCCCGCAAACGACGGCCGAAAGTTCGAGTGCCAGTACTGTTGCCGTGAATTTGCAAACTCACAAGCATTGGGTGGCCACCAAAACGCACACAAGAAAGAAAGACAGCAGCTAAAGCGCGCGCAAATGCAAGCCGGTCGAAACTCAGCCGCTTCCTACGTTAGGAACCCAATGATATCGGCGTTTGCGCCGCCCCCTCACCTCCTCGCTCCGGCGGGTCCTGTAGTTGTTCCGGCCGGTGTGCCACAGTCACCTTCCTGGATTTACATGTCACGTCCGGCGCCGCCCTTCCACTTGTCACATGCGTGCGTGTTTCCGTCTGGTGCCGGGAGAACCCCTGCCACGCTAACGTACACTGGGGTGGTAGGAGGAGGCGGAGGAGGAGGAGGAGGAGGAGAGTCAATGCCGACACCCGGGTCTCAGGTTCGAGCTCATGCAGGGGTTGTTGTCCCTTCACTCAGTAGGTTCTCTGCTTCTGGTGATGGTGGGCCCACTTTTGACGATGCCTTTGGCTTGGATTTACATCTCAGCCTGGCGCCGGCTGCTCCTTGAGTTTGGCTCAAATTTGGCTTTGCTTGGCTTGGCTTGCCTTTGATACATACCATCACAAATGACAATACAGAGAACAGAGTTAGTTAGGTACCACTAGGTGGCTGCTTAACGGCTGATCAGCTTCAGCTCGATCAGAATTTGAGATTTAAAATGCCTACTTGGGTCCTGTAAATTTTCCATTTTTTTTTTTAATTTTTTTCAAGGAAGCAATTTCACTTATATATGTGTGCACTTCCATTTGTCATATATTCTTTATTCTTATTTTAAGCTCTTAAATTTGTATATTTTACAATTATGTATCTAACTATTAATTAGGCATGGATTTATGTGTAGAATATGCATATATTATATTATATATGTGAAGACTGAAGTATACATACATTAACAATAATGAACATCAAAGCTAGGTTAATCAAATCAAATGTGATCTTGCATTGGTTCCTATCAAATTAGATTTACAAAGAACTACTTATTGATGATACTTAGTGTATAAAATCAGGAAGGGTTTAGATGTATATACGTATATATATATATATATATATATATATATATATTATATAAATATGTATGTTAGACATAAATATACACTTCAATTATTAAAGGTCAGTAACCCATCAATGGAAACAATTAATAGACATTGGAGGAATGTTGGACCTAAAAGTAATTTGCTTATGTTTTTGGTGAATGCTTCCAAATACTCATTCATTGCAATGAAGGGTCGGTAAGTCAATGAATTTAATTAGCTTTTGTCTTACATTCTACTAAATTGGAATATGTTTAATTAATTAATATGGATAAGCATGAATCTAAGCACTTGATTAATTGCTTTCTGCTTGGAGGTCATGATATTGATTTTAAATAAACCAAATATGAACCCCACTTAGTGTTATCATTAAAAATTTTTGAAGAACTACTAGTGACATAACCTTTCCCAAGTAAGATGTTATATGTTATATCTTAGCTTTTGTTTTAGTTGGAACCCTTACATCAGGTTACATTCCAACCTATGAAGATTAATTAAAGATTATTAGAAAAAGGAAAGCAATAATCAATAATCCCACTCAATAATGGAATGGGAATGGGATGAGCTTTGTTTTATTATGCATGATGCAAACTTATTGTAGAGACCATGGATAAAAGTATTGACACGTGGCAATACACACGATTCAAAAGGGGGTTGATCCTATTAGATTAAAAATGTTTCAAATTTCAAGAATTGATATTGACCTTCAAATTTCAAAAGTGACTGACTATATATGCCCTAATTTGGTGGACTCAAAACCCAATATGTATCATATGATATACACCGTGGTAGGCTGGAAGAGACTCTAACATCAAACCAAGTATGTCCTATTTGATCTCCACATGATAGTGATGGAAAGATGGGACTAATCACATGCAATGCAAACTAGTTCCCAGCATTTTATGATATTGATGATCGATGATGAAAGTTGAAGAAGAGAAAATGAAGTGTTGGTGACTAATACATATATTTACAATAATGACATTTATTTCTTTTCATTGAACTGATCAAAGAAAGAAAGGTCAATTGGTTGCTAGCAACATGTTAGCTATAAATGCACGAGAGAAAGAGGAGAGGAAAGAGACCCGGCCGGTCTCCCTCTCTTATTGGGGGAAATCAAATCAGATCATAATAATGAAAACAAAGTCTACTCTTTTTTTAAGTGTTAATTGCGGTTCTTACACTTAAGCAACTAAAGACTAATAAAGTCATGATACTTTAAAATATGCCTACGTGTAAGCACGAAATTAAAACAAGATAATAATACATGTCAGGCAACTAATTAATGCATCATTCTTGGGTCTCCCTAGAATACATACATGTATATAAATTAGAAGGGTCAAAAGGGTAGATGACATACCCTCGAAATGATACCTTAAGTTGGATGGAATTTATCAAGGACACAAGTATATATGAATAGAATATAAGCATTATATATATATATATATATATATATATATACATGGCATTAATAGCAGAGGTACGTATAGTAGGGTAGTAGCTCTAGTGGGGAAGAATGGGGTCTGGATGTCTGGATTCAGTAAGGGAACAGAGGAGAAGATAAAGAAATTAGATTGGATTGGGTGTCTTTGTTTCTTCTTTTTTGAAATTAGATGGTTTGGTTTGAACTTTGAACTCTAAAGCAAAGAAAAGGTGGGGTTGTAAGCACCAGTCATGGATTTGAAAACTTGTGCACTTGGAAAACTAAGTTTCTTCTTCCCTGGAGCTTTTGACATATAATAAATAAAGTAACATCATCTTTGTCTTACAACACAACTCGATTGGTTGTGGGAGGCAAATCACCTCACTCCCACAACTTTGCCAAAATCATCCTAGCTGTGTTCTGGGTCCCAGTTTTTCTTCCACAAGTGCATCAAACTGATAAGGACGGGCACTTTCACTGACCAATCAAACCCTTTTTTGGTTTGGGGGACCAAATATCCACTCCTTCTCTCTCTCTCTCAAATATATATTATCATGACCCAGTTGGGTTTGATTATTTTTCTCATTAGACATCATGATCACCTTTAACAAATCTCACAAAGACAATGGTTGATGAAGGTATAACAATGGAAGCAAGTGATACTTTGTGTTAGTAATATATATATATATATATATATATATATATATATATATATATATATATGCCGAGTCAACCCGGAATTTACTTCTCTGCTTGGACTATGCAACTATTTAAAAAAAAGAGTAAATTACAAAATTAAGAACCTGCTGTTCTATGGGGTCAGTGACAGTTACCCCCTAAATTTTTATTTATGACAAAGACCCTTCTAAACTTTCACTTTATGATAAATATCCCCCAGGCCATTAATTAATTAAGTTATATGATGGAATGAGTTAAATTACAAAAATATATACTTGAACTTTCCTTATTTTCTTTTCCTCACCCTTTTCTCTTAAGCTTTGTTTGGTTTGAAGGAAAAAGTAGGGAAAGGAAAGGAAAGGTAAAGAAACCTTTACAAATTTTGTAAATGTTTCCCTACCATTCCCTTCCTTTCCCTACCTTTTCCTTCAAACCAAACACAGCCTTAAACCCTAATTGTCCAAAAAAATACTTCAATTTTTCCAAACGAAGTCATCTAAAATATGAAGAATAATTTCGCTGGCATAGCAAAACAAATTTCTTTAAATTCTTGTTTCATTTTACTAATACAAATGTTTTTCTTCATCTTAAAATATAAAAATTATCCACTCCTTTCTCTAATGGATTAAAAAACAGCAAATAAAACCTTAAATTTATACATACCAAAAAGAAACCTCTACCATTTCATTTGAATATTGAATTCGGGTATAAATCTGCAAGAATCTATTAGAGCAATTGAGAGGACTACTTCAATATTATTGTATTTAGAAAATTAATTGAATCATAAATTATTCAAATAATTAAGAAAAAGGATAGTTTGAAGATTTAAAAAAAATTTTAACAGCTGAATGAGAATCTTTTTCGAAGTTAACTTATAAAACTCTAACAAAAGGAGTATTTGTTGCAAAATGAAAATTTAACAAAGGGGGTAATTGTCACTGACCCCATAGTAGGGGGTGGTCTCTATAATTTACCAAAAAGCTGCAAAACGGCTGTTTGTTTCGTAATTTGGCACATAATATTGTCATTTTCTAGTTTCTGAAGAATTCTTTCAAAATGGTCCAACTATTATAGTATATATAATTTTATAACGTCCATTGCAATCCTTTTATTATTATTATTATTATTAAGTTGTAACCGTATGGTTTTCTGTAAGCACAGGCAAAGCAACTCACGGCAGAGTGCATTATATCATGGTGTTTGGTAAGGGAAAACATTTTTCTTTTCAAATATTCAGGAAGCTATCTTTTGAAACTTTGAGAAATGCCCAAGACCTAAATTCGAGATCCTCCCTTTCCTCTACCAAACGTAATTTTTTGAGTGATTTTATGAATCAAATGAAGTGGCAAGATGAACAAGTGGGAACAGGACAACGTTTCCTCTCACCAAACGCCCACTACTTCACACCAACAAACAACCATCAAATCGCCTATTTAGAAAATAAAGAAAAGCATCAAATCCATTCACATCTGCAATTCTTAAAGCACTATTTTTAAACACTCACAAGTTTAGAGAATTTTACAAGATATTCCATATATTTATTTATTCCTCACTTTATTTTTTTCACTGATTTATGTCTTAGTTTCAATCATTTCTAGAATATAGCATAAGTTATCAGATTTGGTAACGAGATATCATCATCTCACCATCCAAGCTGGTTTTTTATTGCCATCTAAATTTTGCCACAAAATTTATGTATGGTGTATCCGCTGAAACTAGTAAATGTGAAACTACATCTTGTTACATATAAATCAAAGAGAAATAAGTAGATTTAACATTCAATCTACATTTTCATAAAAAATAAATAATTTGAGTCGCATCAAAATTATTAAACATACTAAATACATTAAGTATATGCAGATGGCTAATGCAAATGGAATCATGGAAATAAGTGTTGCAAAGGTTATAAGTATATAAAATCTCTACTCTCCCCCCCCCCCCCCAAAAAAAAAAAAAAAAGACTGAAATTTTAGGATTTTGTACAAATTATGAGAAAAAGTAGTAAAGTTTTGATTTGTAACATTTTTGTAAATTGTTAAAATTTGTAAAACATATTATAAGATGTATTTATTATATTACTTTCTTTTTTTTTTTATGGAACTTATTATACTTAGGTCCAGGGACACGTAGGAGATGGCCTCTACATGGGTCAAAAGTCTTCATAACTTTTCACTTGTTCTATAATTCATGAATTAATCAGGACCTACGTACCCATTAAATGGGTCCTAACTAGTAGATCAGTTGGGCAAAAAATTGACAAGCACATAACATATGCAACCATCATCTCATTTTAATGCATTTAGTTGGAAGGTGGTGAAAAGCTTCTTTAATCCTAAAGAAAAGCCCCACTGACGATGATTCATACATCAACTGGTTCAAAGTCATCCGATTGTTATAACCATAACAAATGTTCCAACAATTGGGACCCATTCAGTAGCATATTCTAATGGGACAGGTGGCGAATTTATGGAGGCCCCATATCTGTTTGTATATGACGTGTCCCCATACCCTAGAGGCCCCCATTACTTCCTTCATCCTAATCCCGAGAACTGTGAAAGTCGCCTCAAATTTGGTGTAGGAAGCAAAGTACAAAACAGTTACTATACAGATAGATTTATAAAA